TAGGCTTTGCCTGCAGCGATAAATGACTTCATCTCCCTTGCTGGTTTCACATTTGGGGACAGCGTGTCCTACTGCCTACACTCTACACACCCCACTCACATGAACACACGATCAACAATTTTGGCCTTTGGGGAAAATAGGTCTACTCAGCTGCAGAGAAAACATACAATTCCCTACATGAATCAATAAAGTCCAGCTTTATGCCTCTGCAGAAAACTTTAGGGGCCCAGAGAACTGTAGTTCCATCTGCAAGTGGTATCTTCTGCCTTGTAGAACACCTACAGGAGACTGCTGTGAATCTTTGGTTGGATCTTATCACCCTCCTGCTGTGATAGGGTCAGATAAACAGGGAATGGGGAAGGGGCTGGGAGGCCGGACAGGAAAAAACACCCAGGATCCACTGTTTCAGTCAGAAGCTGTCCCTCCACTGGAGGCAAAATCTAAAACCTGAGGACACCACTGCCACCCAACTTCCCTGACCAAATGGTACTCACACTGGGACACACACTTCCCTTTTTGAGTCACTATTTGCTACATTCCAAAAGCTAACGTATTCTCCCCATGAGATGTTTACATTTGCAAAATAACTGGAAAACACTAAATATTTATATCTTAATTGATACTGAAAATACTGAAATAAATATTTACATGTCAGTCTGTTATTTTTCTGTGTGAGCTCACCCAGGAAGACTAAGTTTAATTGACAACATCCTCCACGCAGGATACCCATACAAATCTCTGTTGCTGTTTCTGCCTGTAAATTTTTTTTTTAAAGGAGAGAGAATTTAGTTATTTTGGATTTACTTATTAAATTATTCCTTGCTGAGTGTAAGTGCTGTGGGTGATGGGGGTGTGTGTAGCTGTGTATGACAAAAATCTGAATTATATGGCATCTTTACCTAAGAGAAATGAGAATACACATCTTTTATACTACATGAATGTTCATGGCAGCATGATTCCTATCAGCCCCAAACTGGAAATAATTCCAATGTCCATGATCAGATGAACAGATATACCTCTAGTGGTATATTTATACAANACTGTGCTAACTGCTGCCTTCCATCAACTTGCCACAGGAGAACTCCTGCCTCATTTGATGGGGTCTCTCACCATCTGTGGGCAGGGGTTTGTCATATGGCCCCTGCCAGGGCACCTGCTCAGAGACACCCAGTGGGGATTTTCAGTGGGGGTGGTGGAAGGGGGAGCTACAAGAATTTTTGACAAAGAAAAGCACAAGATCAGTGAGGATCCCCACACCAGCCAGCCGCAAAAAAAAAAAAAAGGTACAAGTTCTGTTACTGAAGACCAAGTGAAAGAATCTGTCTGAAGAGAAAGGGTGCACATGGGTGACTCCTGAGAACTAAGGCTGCAAATGCAGGCTGTGGTGGAGAGCCTTCAACACCAGGATGAAGGGTTTTAATTTGTCCTGTGGGTAAATGGGACTTCTGGGTTTAGACGGCAGAGTTAAACCAGATCATCAAATCTCTGGTCTTTTTCTGTATGAATTCAGACAAGAGGACCACAGTTAACAAATTCCTCTATGCGTGACACATGCAAAAACATCCTTTGATTTCTAGCCACAGTGCTACTAACTCACAAAGTCCTTTTTTAACTGAGATCTATTCACTCCTGAGTACTGAGTCTCCTTCTTCCTAATTGTTACAAGGTTGGTGGGTCTACTGGCAGCTGTGGTTTCTTTACAATCGTAGTTCAAGTTCCTTTTAAATCTGTCTTGAAGAAACTGCTTCTTCTTACCTCCCTACACTGATGGCCTCAACATGCAATTGTGTGGTTATGCTTTTGAGAGAGTTTGCTCAGGAATCTGATTCAATACACTTGAAGAAAGGCAGAACATGTGGGGGTTGGTCCTGGTTTGTGTGGGAGAGTGAGACAGAGCATCCCAGCTGCCCCAGATCCTGTGGGTGGGGCACAAGAAGGGGCCAAGGTCAAACCGGGCATTGCCAGGAGCCTGAAGCCTAGAAACAAACTAGATTAGGAGCTGGCAAGGTAATTTGACCACTGAACTTCACCAAGTATGTGTCAATGGCCTTGGTCAGCTTTTATAAGCCTAGTCATCCACCTCCAATCTCTCTCCAGATAGTCTTAAATCAGCACGGTACTCTCCAGGATGGATTCTAATGACTTGGTTGGGCATTTTTCTGTCTTACTGAGAAATGGGTGATCGCATGAGTTCCCTCCGAATTTGGATGTGTGTGGACACAAATATGTGTTTTTGATCATTTAGAATTTTAATTTTATATTTATTAAAAGAATTCTTTAGATTTATCTAGACATTTGTTTTTCTCATATATTATTTTTGGATATACATTTTAAAATTTTTAAACAAAATTGGTAAGTACTCCTAAAACTTCTTCACATTCAGAACCCCTCTTTTCTGAATCGACTTTTTAAAACTGAGGTACAACATATACACGTTGAAATATGTAAAGTGCATTAGTCACAAATATATATATGAGTATATGTATATATACATATTCTGATTACCACCATCCAAAAGATGTAGAGCAATTGGAACTTATACACACTGTTGGTGAGAGTAAAAAATTGATACGACCACTTTGAAAAACAGTTTTACAGTATCTACTAAAGTTAAACATATGCCTACCTTATGATCTAGCAATCCCACTCATGAGTATATACCCAACAGAAATGAGTGCATGTGTCCACCAAAATGCATGTATAAGAATATTTATAGCAGCACGGTTCATACTAGTTAACAATGGAAACAATTCAAATGTCCATAAAGAGGAGAAAGGATGCATTGGTGGTATATTCATCCAATAGAATGATACACAGCCACAAAAAAAACCCCCAAATTACTGTTAACACACAATAATATGGGTGAATATCACAATTATTATGAATGAAAGAAGCCAGACACAAAATACCATATTATATTTATATTTAGACTTTTATGAAAACCAAAACCAACCTAAGGTGTTAGAAATCAGAGCACGGCTTGCCTAGAGGTCTTGGACGACCATCAAATTAAAAGGGCCAGAGAGAAATTTTGGGGTTGATGGAAATGATCCATATATTGATCAACTGCAGAAAACATTTGTTCAAACTAATTGAATTATATATCTAAGTGTACACTTTTGTTGTTTGTAAGTTGTATCTCAATTTAAAAAATAATAATAATTTGATTCCTTAAAAATAATTTAATTCTTACCCTCTGAGAGGTTTAAGGTGTTATTGCTGCTTTGAATAAAGAACATACTGCTACAATAATGCATAAATTAGAGAGAAAATATTGCCTTTAGGAAATAAGAATATGTTTATAGAAATTTACACAAAGACTGAGACAAGCTAAACAATAACACAATCATGACCAAGAAAAAAATTCTAATTTGGAGCATAAAGTTGAAGAAATCCAGAACACAGAGCAAACAGACTAACATGACAGAAAACTTAGGAGACATGGAAATTCAATCCAAGGAAAGCAACAACCATCTAATACGTATTCTAGAAGGGAGGGACATAGAAAACGTGAGAAAAAATAATTAAAGACGTAATAGAAGAAAATGTCCAGAAAACTGTTCTCAGATGGCAGGGACTCACTGAGTGCTGACTAGGATGAATGAAATAAAGGGCTGGTCCTTGTGAAAGTTCAGAACTCCAGCAATAAAATTAAAATAAATCCCAAATCACAAAAGCCAAAAAGCTGCAGAAGGGGTAAACAAAAAAACCTAGAGAAGCTTATTGATAAAGGAATGAGTTTCAGGCAACTAAAATAAGAAAAAAAGAACCCATAATGGCATACTAAAGGTGTAACAGTGTGTCAATGAAAAGAAAGTCTACTGTACAGGTTTTCCAGGAGAGCTATGGTTTTCTGTTAAAAATGGACAGTAAGTTGACACATGTCCCTAACAGGATATCAACATGGTGTTCAGTTTCCTAACCACTTAGCATGTGATTAAATCCACATGCTAAGGCAGCAAAATGAAAAGGAAAGAGTTACAAGTCCACATTAAGGTTGTCATCACATTATTCTGCAGTTGTACCAGACTCAGTCTACCCACCATCAATTTCTTGTTTGTGATTAAAACAAACTTCTACTTGTTTTAATTGAGGTCCTTTAGATTTTCTTCTATAGGAAGCAAACACAGATGTAGCATGCTTTTAAACAGATGATATGATCATATTTAGCAGTGAATTATAAATCAATAGCAAGTGTAGCTATTTGATTTTTATTTAAGACATTGAAAACAAACTACAGTGATTACATTTTCTTTTGAATCAACTAACATGTTGACTAAATATTTCATTTATGTTGACTGCTCATAAGGAAAATGTCTTATGTTATTTATATAAGAAGTGATTATAAGACATTGAAAACAAACTACAGTGATTACATTTTCTTTTGAATCAACTAACATGTTGACTGAATATTTCATTTATGTTGACTGCTCATAAGGAAAATGTCTTATGTTATTTATATAAGAAGTGATTTGTAAAGCAGGTTTCTGATGATTGTAGATTGGATTGTAAACCTTTTGTAAATGCCTGGGTTTAGTGAAATTTGAGATTTATAGTCAAGGGTCAATCACATGTGATACATGAATAGACTATTTCTTTATTGTTAAATAGCTTACTGCAAAAGTAAATATGTCAGCTGTTAATGAAATCATAGAACATTATATGAATTCCTTTTTTAAAGTTTTATTTATATATACATATATTTATATAATTACATGTAGGTAACTGCACACATTTTAAATGTATAAAGCACACAACTTGATGAGTTTTGATAAATATATAGACCTATAAAACCACTACCACCGTCAAGATAATGAACAAAACCAGCACCCCCAAAAGTGTCCTCATGTCCCTCTGGAATCTGTCCTTCCTGCCCCTCCTCACTGTTCCCCCCTCACCACCCCCCGGTCCCCAGGCTAATCACTGATCTTCTTTCCCCCACTATAGGTTAATTTACATTTTCTATAATTTTATGTAAATTAGATATTCTTTTGTCTGGCTTATTTTATAGGACAAAATTATTTTGAGATCCATCTATGTTGTATGTATCAATAATTGGTTGCTTGTTATTGCTGAGCAGTATTCCTTTGTGTGGGTATATCACAATTTGTTTATCCAATTATCTGTAGATGGACATCTGGGTTGTTTTCAGTTTGGGGCTATTACAAATAAAGCTGCTATAAAGACTTGTGGGTAAGTCTTTCTATGGATATATATTCCCCACAAATGGGGAATGGCTGGGTCTTATGGCAGGTATTATGCTTAACCTTTTAAGCAGCTGCCAAATGAATAAAACATTTTACATTCCCAACAATGCGTAAAAGCTCCAGTTGTTCCACACCCTTGGCACTGCTTGGTATGGTCAGTCTTTTTAATTTTAGTCATCCTACAGGATATTTAAAGATGTCACACTGTGGCTCATTTGCATAATCATTAATGACACTGAGCACCTTTTCATGAGCTTTTCTGCCATCCATATATCTTCTTTGGTGAAGTGTCAGTTCAAATCTTTTGTCTATTCTAAAAGGCAAGAAAAGACCTACCAAAATTTTGACACTCAGGGTATGTTCCTGAAAGACAAAGTTGATTTGTTTTCAAAAGGTGAAGGTTTGTGTAGTTAATTCAAAGGAACTAAGTAAGGATTGGAAATAGCAGCAGGGAGCAGACTGTGGAGAATTTTTAATATCAAAGCTAGGAGTTCTACATTATTTCTGTAAATAGCAGGATTATAACCTGGGAGAAAATGGGAGGATTAAACCAGATGAACAAGCCTCTCTCTCCCAAAACTTAGTAAAATCAACAAAATATAACTAAAAAATAGGAAAAAATAATATCAATAGCATTCACACAAGTGATGATCAGACAGACAGACTTTAGGAATAATGTGGATTCTTTTCTAAAATCCACCTAACATCTCATCAAAATAGCACCAACAAAGATTAAGCAAATGGGAGAAAATTTTGGAAATGACTGCTGCTATCTTCTCCAAACTGTGAAAGAAAAAGACTGAAAGTGTGAGCAGCCACACCTGGGTTCAACACGACTGCCCTTCAAGGGAAAACTCTCTTCCCCACACCTGTCAGCAGGGAAGAGAGAACCCATCAGGATTCACCATTTTGCTTTTTTCTGCCTGGGAGGAAATTAGGAGAGGGACTATGAGGATGGAAAAATAAAAGGGAAAATAAATTATATAACTCTACCAAAGGAGAGGATAGGACTGCAAGTAGAAACAGACATGAGAAAAGACCACAGACAAACCATAATAAAGCAACCTTTCCCTGCTGCACATTGACAGAGGGTTGCTCATCATCCTCAGGCCGACTGCCTTTGCTCTCCTCTGGGAAGCGAGGAGTAGAGGGGACGGCTGGGGAAAGGGAAGGAAATAGGGAAGGGAGAGGGGAAGTAGACACCTAGGATTAAAGTATCATCAGAAATCGGGCACCTGATGTCAAAACCTGAGGATGCCTGCCGCTCCTCCAGCAGGCAGACTTGTAACTATGGTACCAACACTTCTAAGAGAACTTTTTTTAAAGAAAAAATGTAAAGATACAAAATCTGTCAAAAAAAGAAATGCTCACCGTCACTGGTTTTCTGGGTATGTACCTGTTTTTATAGAATATGCAGTTATTTGTGAATTTACCAATTAAAATTGGGTGCATTCACTGCTGCATATTTCTCTTACGAATTGATTAAAAGTAAATAGGTATGTTGACAGCTGTGGCTGTCCAGCCACCTTAATTATGTTACATTTTTTTCAAGTTTTGCATGATTGTCTTGACGAAATGGCTGCTTCTTTTATCCCTACCCCCAGTTCCCTGCTATAACTTACCATAGGAACACTTGCTTTGATCATTTCTGGTAGCTCTTTTTCTTCCTGGGTGCCATCCAACTGTGTAGTATGAATGGCTGCTTCTTTTATCCCTACCCCCAGTTCCCTGCTATAACTTACCATAGGAACACTTGCTTTGATCATTTCTGGTAGCTCTTTTTCTTCCTGGGTGCCATCCAACTGTGTAGTATGGTTGTCACAAGTATTACCTGGCTAATGAAAGAAATGAAAGACATTTTTATCCAGACATATTTTTCCAAACGTGATTGTGTTCAATTATGCATTACACTACAGTTTGTGTACATACATATAGCTGTTTGGAGACAGAGTTAATGACTACCTGTGCATTGATAATATCACTTAACAATTCGTCCATAATTATATTAATCCTCATAAATGTCATGTGCTATAATAGAATCTCAGAAGCAGACACTGTTAGCTGCCTGCCAAAATCCACTTTTCCCTTCTTCTTTAACTTATGAAATCATGATTTTGCTCCAAGATGCAGTGTGTCTAAAAAGACTAAGTGTGATCGTGTGATGGTTACTACCCACAAAGTTTTCTTGTTAAAGTGGATGAAATCAACTGCCCGATGCTTCTTCCAGGAACATAGACATGGTGCCCGAGATGCCCAGACACCCTTTAAGTATTAAATCCTAGCCCATAAGCAAAATGGAAAGATGGAAAAGTTTGTAGATCCATGCTAGGGCAGCCATATAAGCCGTGGTCTATCTACACTGAGCTTCTTGTTTTGTAAGAAAAGTAAACCTTTAATTGACTAAGTGATGCAGCTTACTGATAAGACCATGCTGTTTTAAAGTCAGACTTTATGACTGTATTTTGCAATGGTTTACAAATCAATAACAAGAATAGTTAGTTTTTTTTTTCAGTTATGAAACTGGAAAAACATTAGATTGATCACCTCATGAACACATAGGAGTGAACCAAATATTTCATTTCCATTCAGTGAATATTGGAAAAGCTCTGATTTTCATTATGCCAAAAGTGTATTTGGAGACTGGGTTTCTGATCATGATGGACTGCATTGTAGGCCTTGTGCATGAGCTCCAAGATTTAGCAGCATTTCTAATACATGGCACTCCCCCAAATAAGATGCAAATATTATGTTCCATGATTGAAGCAACTTTTTGCAAAATTAAACTTATTTACTGGATATTAATGAAATCATAAACTGTTACATGAGACCTTCAAAACTGTTATTTTTTTAGACAGTTTCTTTGTATTTTCTAACTTTCTCCTAAATCGTATCATTATTTTAATAAGAAAAACACATATCTTTTTTAAAGTAGAGACAATGCTCAAGAGGCAGCACAAGAAAGCTTTGGTCAGGACCAAGGATGGAGAACACAGCACTCCCCCTGCCCCCAGCTTATCTGTCAGTACTAAGAAGGCACACATTTTTAGAAGAAGAGATCCAAATGGCACTGGAAACCAGCAAAGTATGCTAATAATTTTTAATGTTCAGACATCATTAGAAATTCCTGGAAAATAAAAAGTAAACACTTTGATAATTGGAGAGACATGTTCAGCCTAAGAACAGCATAAGACAACATTGCTGAAGAAAAACCAGATTCACAAAAAGCAAGCAAACAAACAACAAATAAACAAGATCAGAGTGAAAAATACAAAGGTCAATGGCCGGGATAATTTACTGTAAAAATATTTCCTTAAACCAGCCAGACCTCCCTCCAGCCCCCATGACACTGAACAGCAGGTCGTAGCTATGTATGAGCCCAAGAAGAGCACTCTAAATGAAGTGAACCACCTGCTTTGGGGGGATTTCCAGGGTGGAACCAAAAACAGACCTCAATATCAGGTCGCTCTGGACCTCCGTGAAAGACATGGGTAGCAGGATAGAAGGAATACATCACCTTTGCCTGGGACAGAAAGAAACGAAGTCATTCACGCCTCCCTTTTGGCAATGATGATGTGTGCTTGTGCTATGGTTTGAATGTGTCCTCCCAAGAGCATGTGTTGGAAACTTAATGTCCAATGCAACAGTATTAAGAGGTGGGACCTTTAAGAGGTGAGTGGGCCATGAGGACACCACCATCACAAATGGATTAATGCCATTATCTTAGGAGGGGGTCCTTACAAAAACAAGTTCAGCCTTCCCACTTTGCCCTTCCATCTTCCACTATAAGATGACACAGCACAAAGGAACTTGCCAGATGCCAGCCCCATGATCTTGAACTTCCCAGCTTCCAGAACTGTAAGAAATAAACCTCTGTTCTTTATAAATTACCCAGTCTGTGGTATTGTTATAGCAGCACAAAACGGACTAAGGCAGTATGTGTGCGTGCACGTTCTTGCAGGCATGCTGTTAAACTAATTTCCATTCACACACTGTTCACATTCCTTACTGGCTTACACGGCTCTTTTATTTAAGTCAGAGTCCTTCGAGAAAATATCTATATAATGGCAGAGAAATACAGGAATGACATACCCTGTCATTAATTAATCAATTCAGTCCATTCATAAATATAAATCAACCACTAAGGATCATCAGTCATTGGAAAAAATAAACATTGTGAAAAAGTATAGTGATAAACATTCTGGGAGAAACAGGTAAATGAGAGAAGAGAAAAAAGCTTATAATGATTTAATGATTTCAGAGAGATTTGAGAGGCTATTGGAACCATAAATCAGGAACTAACTATAACAGTAAAAGCAAAATTAGTAAAAATGGAGGAATTCTTGTGAATTAACATTATAAATGCTGAATTGAAAAATCAGTAGGGGACAAATTTTAACTTCTCGTGGCAAAAATTTGAATTAGGGATCTGCAAAATGATGTAGACAAAATCTATTAGCATAAAAAAAGACATGGAAAATGTAAGATACAATTTAAGAGATAAATTGAGTTTAATCCAAGTAATGAAAGGAAGAATAGAGAAAATGGAGGAAAGAAACAAAGAAATGATTGGAAGAGAATGTTCAGAACTGAAAGGAAAAAAAAAAACAATTTTCAGAAACACAAAGCTGAATGCTGACCATGATAAAGGGAAAAAAAAATCTCATATCCTGATGATATTTCAGTTCTCTAACATAAAAATAAACCTAAAAATCATCCAGAAATATAAAGATGAGAACAGGATATAAATAAGTGAATGAAGGAAATTGATTTAGGACCTGGCATTTTGATACTTGCCAATTTAGGATTTAAGTTTTTAGGGTATGAAAATTTAGTATCCAGAGACATTTCGTTTTGCTCAAAGGGTAAAAGGTACAAATTGCTAAGAAGATGTAAGATTTTGTAGTACAAGTGATTACGTAAGTTGGTAATTCTATTCTTCTGCATGGTCACTTTATTCTACCAGTCCTCGTCCTCCCCCCGTGAGCAGGGACGGCACTTGCTTCCTCCTCCTGTACACTGGCGATCAGTTCAGGCTGTGGTTGGAGGAAAACGTCCACATTCTCTTTCATCTCAGGGAGAGGTTTCTCCATGTGTTTCGCACCACACGTGCTCCTTGATTAACTTTTAAAAGGTGAGAAAACCTTCCAGGGTTTGAAATAAAAGGGACGGTGAAAGCCAGGTGGGAGAAGAACATCCGGGCAGTGATGAGCCTGGGAAGGACATGGGAGAGCGGGGCCTGTAGGGATCCTGCATCAGTCTCCATCCTGAGGATGCCTGCTGATCCTTCTGGCACCTTGATTATTCACTTGCTCAGCTGGAGCTTGAGACAGGAACACTGCACTCACACCAAAGCTCCAGGTGCTGGGCCAGCAGAGCTCAGGAGGGTGGGGGTGGAGGGCAGCAGATGACAGACAAATGCAGGCTGGGCTAATGTGTGCCCTTGGCTGATATAAAATCATTTCCTGAACATTCCATTCGAAGGCCAACTGTTATCTTACCCAGTAACTGTGAACTACCATGTCTCACCTTCTAACCATTGTTATTGCTTTTATTTACACATTAAATTCATTTTTAAGCTAATATATAAACTCTTGGGTGCAGGGGCCATGTCTCCGTGTTTTGCCGCTGCTGTCTGGAGTGCTGGGCACTTTGTGAGTGTTCAATAAACACCTGCCATTGTTCCACTCTGATTACTCCATAAAATGGACTCTATCATTACTTCTTAAGGGAAGAAGAGAAAATAAAGGCAAATGAAAGAAGTTTTCTCCCCCACATCCAGAGTGTATCACTTTATATTAGGGGCTCTGCAGAAGAGTTGTTGCAGCAGGCCTGAGACACTCTCCCTAGATAGGCCTGTTTGCAAGGTTGGCCCTTGGCTGGCCTCTGGGAGCTTGAATTTCAGGACAGTTCCCACCAGTCCCCAAATGTTAAGACTGGCTCTCTGTTCCTAAACTGTTTATGCAGACACTATGACATTCAGCATAAGCCAAATTATTTACACAGACAATATCATACTGAGAGAGGAGAAAATCTATAAAAATTTACCATTTTGTTTTCTCTAGTTTGGAAGAAAATAAAAGGTGGAAGATGAGGATAGAAAGACAAAAGAAGAAAGAAATAAAGTAAGCCCAGCCTAATGAGAGTCCACGGTCAAGGGAGGGAATGTAGGTGTGCTATAAGACCTCAATATTATATGCTGCCCTGACGTCTGGTGAAATCAGGAGAGCTGTGAATGGCCTAATGGCAAGTTTTCCTCCCTGCCCTGCTCCTGCAGATAAGGCTTCCTAGCCAAACAACCTTCCTTATCCAGGAACCAGTTCCTGCTTATTCCTGAGTAGCAGGTTTCAATTCTTGCCAGCCCATAATATTACTCAGACAAGCAATCACGTCCTCCTGTAAGAACCAGGGCACCCCGCCCTCATGGTGCTACAAAGCCTGCCTCCCACAGCACCGGATGTTCACTCTGCTCCCAGATGTACCACATTTGGCCCTGTGTGATGTGTGGTGTCTTCCTGGCTATGAGTATGTGTGACTAACGAACTGCTGTCAATTTCATCTGTCCAGTGTCAGGTGCTGGGTGTTGAGCCATCCTGACAACTCTAGGGTGGGAATCTCTCCCTCCCGAATGAGGCGAAGAGGAGGCAGTCGAAACGGCAGGTGGAGTCAGCTGGGATAGAGGCTCGTAGGAATCTATTATTTGAAAATCCTCCAGTGTCTGCCCTGACCTCCCCCTCCTCTGGCTGAGGGGTGAGGTCGTGGCTGCTGCGGGGAGAACAGGGAAAACAGAGAGGAGCAAACACCTCGGTTCAAGTGTTCTAGGGGGAGGTAAGGTGGA